TGCAGCTGGGTATGCAGATGAGACCTGGGGGATTGCAGCCAACTTGCTGCCCCTCTGCAGACCCAGCAGCCCACAGAGAATGAAGGGAATAGCCAATTCCTGATCAAGCCATACCTGATCTCCACACTATCCCCAGACTTTTACAGCTACAGGGGCCAATGCATCCCCCTCGACTTTGGGCTGGTTCAGAGTTGTGTTTTCTGTTAATTACAGCCAAAAGCGTCCTGATGCTCCAGATGCCCTGCCTACCCCAGATTGGGACAGGGGCTTCCTGTGGGCTCTGGCAGCCCTCAGGTCCATCACAGCCCTCATCAGTCTGCATCATGTACCTGAATGCTCTTCTTGACCCATCACTGCATGTGCCCTGACAGCAGGGCCACGTCTGACTCACGTCTGAGTCTCCGCACTCAGCCAGCCCGGAGTTGGGGACATGAGCAGGGACTTGGGAGGTCTGTTGAATAAAAGAACAAGCAGAGGGCTTGGGACAGAGCCCAGGATCCAAGGCCCGGCCTGGTTCCACTCACACTCCAGGGTCACCCCCACCATCCACCTTGTTCACCTCTTTCTCTGTCATTCCAGGTTGTCCCTGAAGTGGATGCAGCTGGGGCCTCTGCCATGATCCCTACCATCCACACTTGGGCCTATCGGGGGGACCCTGGGCTCTCTCTTCTCCTCCCTAAAAAACGGTAAATCCGTGTCCTCCACTCCCAAACCAGGATCTCAGGACCGACCTCTCTTCCAACTCAGACTTGAATAACCAAACTGCCTACTCAGCACCTCCCATGACAACCGTCTGTCAAGGGCTTTCTGTCATTCTTGGAGCAACATTCAAACCCCTGCACAAGCCTGAAAGAGCCTGTGGTTTGAACCTGCTGCCCTCCAGAGCTCATGTCATTCACTCCCACCCCATTCCCTTTGCCCTGGCACACCGGCCTCCTGGCTGCCCCTCAAATACACCCCCACTGACACCTCACGGCCTTTGCACACGCCATGTTCCCCCACCTCTCCACTACCTGGAGCGCACGAAGTAAGTGATCCACAGATGGTTTCTATCATCATCATTGGCTAAAGTCCAATTCAATGACTCAGTCTCAATTCAAATCTACCTCCTCACCGGCCTCCTGGGAAATTAAAGTGGGATTCACGGAGCCCCCAAACACCCAACCTTGGCTTTCAGATGCTTTTTTTTTTTGAGACAGAATCTCGCTCTGTCACCCCGGCTGGAGTGCAGTGGCACGATCTTGGTTCACTGCAACCTCTGCCACCTGGGTTCAAGTGATTCTCCTGCCTCGGCCTCCCAAGTAGCCGGGATTACAGGTGCACACAGGTGCACACCACCACAACTGACTAATTGTTGTTGGCCAGGATGGTCTCAATCTCCTGACCTCGTGATCCGAGCGCCTCGGCCTCCCAGAAGTGTTGGGATTACAGGTGTAAGCCATTGCGCCCGGCCTCAGATGACTCTTCACGGAAAGATCTGGTTACGCTTTAGCCAGCCCAAAGAGACCTGCCCTCCCTGCAGCCAGAGAGGAAACTGCCACGGGTCCCTGGAGAACTTCAGGCAGCCCTGTGCCTTCCACCTGTTCCAACTCCCTCTGTGACCCCATGCAGGAATCTCCCTCTGTGCCTCCGAGGTGGAGGCCACTGGCTCCTATGAAAAAGCAGCACAGGCTGGGGGCAGTGGGTCACGCCTGTAATCCCCGCACTTTGGGAGGCCAAGGTGGGCAGATCACTTGAGGTCAGGAGTTCGAAACTAGCCTGGCCAACATGATGAAACCCTCTCTCTACTAAAAATGCAAAAAAAAAAAAAAAAAAAAATAGCCAGGTGTGGTGACAGGCACCTGTAACTCCAGCTACTCTGGAGGCTGAGGCACAAGAATCCTTTGAGCCCAGGAGGCGGAGGTTGCAGTGAGCTGAGATCAGGCCACTGCACTGCAGCCTGGGTGACACAGTGAGACTCCATCTCAAAAACAAAACAACAAAAACATTCTGAAGGAGTGGGGGTTAAAGTTTGGAAGGAATTTAAAAGATCAAAGGGCCAGGCATGGTGGCTCATGCCTGTAATCCCAGCACTTTGGGACGCCAAGGTGGGCAGATCACCTGAGGTCAGGAGTTTGAGACCAGCATGGTCAATATGGCGAAACCTTGTCTCTACTAAAAATGCAAAATTAGCCAGGCATGGTGGTGCATGCCTATAATCCCAGTTACTTGGGAGGCTGAGACAGGAGAATCGCTTGAACCTGGGAGGCAGAGGTTGTGGTGAGCCGAGGTCGAGCCATTGCACTCCAGCCTGGGCAACAAGAGCGAAACTCTGTCTCAAAAAAAAAAAAAAAAACCCAACAATTAAATATTTAAGGCAATTGAGAAATTCAATACTGACTGAGCATTGGCTGATATTAAGAATTTGTTGCTGCCGGGCGCAGTGGCTCACACCTGTAATCCCAACACTTTGGGAGGCCAAGATGGGGGGATTGCTTGAGCCCAGGAGCTCAAGACCATCCTGGGCAACAAAGCAAGACCTTGTCTCTACAAAAATTTAAAAACAAACCAGGCAGGGTAGTGTGAACCTGTCTGAGTTACTTGGGAGACTCAGGTGGGAGGATCCCTTAAGCCCCAGGAGTTTGAGGCTGCAGTGAGCTATAATCACACTCTAGTCTGACCAACAGAGCAAGACCCTGTCTCGAAAAAAGGAAAAAATAAAAAATTGTTGCTAATCGTTTTAAATACGTATAGTACGGCAGTAATGCGGGAAAAAAAGTGGCGGGGGCAGGATTCAGGCTTGATCTAACATATCAAAATGCATTCATATATCAAAACATCACATTGATCACTGTAAGTGTGCACTATTTTTGTTTGCCAATTATGCCTAAATAAAGCTGGAGGAAAAAAATTTTTAGAAAAAGGATTCACCTTGCAGTATTTATGGAGTGTGAGGTCTGGGAGCTGCTGTAAAATGATATGGGGAATAGGGAGGGGAGGGAAGGGGTGAGAGGGTGGAAGGGTGAGTTGGAGGAAGGGCGGGGGTAGGTGTATGGGGTGGGTGGGGTGAGTTGGAGGAAGGGTGGGGGTAGGTGTACAGGGCGGGAGGGGGCTGGGGGGGGTTAGCACAGGCCAGGGTGGCTGCAGGGTGGCTATGGTTGATGCTGGGAGATGGCGGCTCATTGTACATCCTTTGAATGTCTAAAATTCTCCACAAATAAAAAGAACTGAAATGAAAAAATAAACCCAAGGAATTACAACAGCGTGGGGTCTGCTTTGGAGAGTCAGGTGGGAGTTCCAGCTGCAGGGGCCTCAGAGCCTCCCACCCCAGCCGAGAGCCACTAATCTGCAGCCCAGACAAACCCACTGCCCCGTCCGAGTTTCCTTTGCTTGTTTTCATTTTATGGCCAGGTAGGGGAAGGCAGTGGGGAGCTACCCAGGAGTTTCAGGAATTCAGACCTACCCAACCAGTTCCTTCTGGACAGTCACCGGCTCCACTCTCCTTCCCTGGAAAGTCACTGCTCTTGTCCAGGCCACTGAACAAAAAACGGCTTGGCCTTGGCCTTCAGCATGGAAAGAGCACGCTCTAAACAAAAAGCATTCTTCTCTCGTCTCCCCAGGCAAGACCTTCCCCCAAAAGGTCAGGAGACAGAACCAAGACCACTAAACACGAACACCTGCGCTTCGCATGCATTAACTCATTTAATTATCCCAATGGCCCTATGAGTCAGTCGGTAATGACGTGGCCCCTATTTTGCAGATGAGGAAACCAAGCAGAGTGGCCAGTAACTGACTCCAGGTCAAGGGAGTGAAAGGCAGGCCCCATCATGGTTGAGCAGTGCAGTGCCTGCCTCTCCTGAGCCCGGACATTATCCCCACCCCCCGACTTCCCCAGCCTCAAGACAAACTGAAGGTTTATGACGCTCATCTGACAGGTGAGAAAACGGGGGCCCAAAGACCTAACTTGGAGAGTCACTCAGCCAGGGACACAGAAATCTGGACACAACAAGATGCCAGAAGCTCCAGGGAGCTCCAGGGAGACTCCCCGTGAAGGCAGGTGGGGCAGGACTCCGGAGCAGTGCACTCCCCCGCAGCTAAGCCTCCTTGCAGGAGCATTCCTGCAAGGACACCCTCACCCACAGCGCAGGGCCCAGAGGGTCTCCCCTCAAACGCACCCCAGGGAGGCCAACCAAAGGACATCGACTTCTGAAACGGCTGAGTCTTAAGTGCTGAGTTCCCAGCCGGACAAATGTCAACACTGTTCACAGGGAAGCGAGGGAGGGCACAGAGCCCTCTGGAATCCACACAGCCTCTGCCACAAAAGCCTGAAGCCGGTGGCCAAGGCCCTGTCCCCATCCCGCCAAACAATCCCGCCCTCCTTCCCGGTGGACTCTGCGGTTCCTTCTCCAGGGCCTTCATACTCCTCCCAAAGCACCTGGGAAATTTCCAAGCCAGGGTGTGACAGAGCCCCAGGGATTCTCAGGAGCCCCCGCCCCCCCCACCCACCCACCTCCACCCAGGACTGAGGGACAGTGAAAGGCAGGGCCTCTCCGCCTTCCTGACGACCTCCGAGGCTGCTAGCGGATTAGTTTCAACTTTGGGCTTTTAGGCGGGGGCCGGTGGCTCTCGTCAGTAATCCCAACACTTTGGGAGGCCCAGGCGGGCGGATCGCCTGAGGTCAGGAGTTCAGCATGGCCAACATGGCGAAACCCTGTCTCTGCTAAAAATGCAAAAACTAGCTGGGCGTGATGTCAGCGCCTGTAATCCCAGCTACTCTGGAGGCTGAGGCACGAGAATCGCGTGAACCCATCAGGAGAGATCGCGCCACTGCAATCCAGCCTGGCGACAGAGCGAGACTCAGTGTCAAAACAACAACAAAAAAAGTTTCTGCTTTTAACTCCTGGGGGTTCCACCCGCTGTGTGTTGAACCGACCAGACACCCAACCGCTGAGATTGAATCAGCGCAGCACCTGCTCCGGCCTCCGTTTTCTCATCTGTGAAACCAGAATGACCTCACCCACCTTGTAGGTTTGGTGGGGGGAGGGGGTGCCTCCCCCAGGCGCTGACCCGGCCTAACCCGAGACCCCATGACAGAAGCAAAAAGGGAACGTTTGAGCTGACACCTTCCTGCCAGACCAGACCAAAACCCAGGCAGAGAGAGGCGAGGGCGGGGAAGGCCGTGCGGGGTGAGAGGGAACAGGACAGGGGAAAAAGCAGAGAAGGGGACGGTGGGGGGCGGGGAAGAAAGGAGGTGAAGGGAGGAGTCTGGAGCCCACAGGGGAACTGGAGGCCGCGCGCCGGCCGGAGGGGCTCCCCACGGCCGCACGTGACGTCGCGCCCGCCTGGGCGTCCCTACCTGGCCAGCGGCCCCTTGTCCCCGCGCACGCCCTGAGAGCCCCCGCGGAGCACGGCCCCTCCCTGCACGCTCCCTCCCGCCGCCGCCCGCCTTAACTAGCCACGGACCCCGCCGGCCCCCACCTGCGTTCCGGGTCCACCGCTCACCTGGCCCCTCCCCGGACGTGGCTCCCGGGCAGGCTCCGCCCCCCCGCCCCTGCTACCGTGCGGGAGCGATTTCCCAGGTGCACGAGCTGACACTGGGTCCACCTGTGTGTAGGGGGAGGGGGACAGGGCGGGGTCGGGAGGAGCACGCGCACTCAGGGACCCCTCGCACATCGCACCCTGGGCGCCCCGATTCCCGCCTGGGCCGCGTCCCCGTCCCGCACAGCACCCATGCCTGGGGTGGGCACTTTCTTGCTGATCCATTTCCCCATTTCTTATTTTATTTATTCATTATTTTACTTTATTATTATTATTTTTTTGAGACAGAATCTCGCGCTGTCGCCCAGGCTGGAGTGCAGTGGCGATCTTGGCTCACTGCAACCTTCACCTCCTGGGTTCAAGCAATTCTCCTGCCTCGGCCTCCCAAGTAGCTGGGATTACAGGGACCCGCCACCATGCTCAGCTAATTTTTTGTATTTTTAGTACAGACGGGGTTTCACCATGTTTGCCAGGCTAGTCTTGAACTCCTGACCTCAAGTGATCCACCCACCTCGGCCTCCCAAAGTGCTGGGATTACAGGTGTGAGCTACCGCACCCGGCCGTGGGCCATGGTTTAAAGGCATTTTGTTCCTGACTCACTGCCTCAGCCATTATCTGCATATTCGTGCAACTTGTGCTACAGAGAACAATGTGTAGCCAATCAACAACTTATTTTTATTTTAGATTCAGGGGGTACATGTGCAGGTTAGGGAATATATTGGGTGACACTGAGATTTGGTTTTCTGTTGATCTCCTTACCCAGGTAGTGAGCACAGTACCCAATAGGAAGTTTTTCAGCCCTTGCCCTACTCCCCTCGCCCTTTTGGAGTCCCCAGTGTCTCTTGTTCCCATCTTTATATCTGTGGGTACCCAAGGTTTAGCTTCCCCTTAGAAGTAAGACATGTCATCTTTGGTTTTCTGTTTCTGCATGAATTCACTTAGGATAATGGTTTCCAGCTGCATCCATGTTGCTGCAAAGGACATGATTTCATTCTTTTTCATGACTGCATAGTATTCCATGTTGGATACGTACCACATTTTCTTTTTTTTTTTTTTTTATTTTTTATTTTTTTTTTTTTTTTTTTTTTGGAGACGGAGTCTCACTCTGTCGCCCAGGCTGGAGTGCAGTGGCCGGATCTCAGCTCACTGCAAGCTCCGCCTCCCGGGTCTACGCCATTCTCCTGCCTCAGCCTCCCGAGTAGCTGGGACTACAGGCGCCCGCCACCTCGCCCGGCTAGTTTTTTGTATTTTTTAGTAGAGACGGGGTTTCACTGTGTTAGCCAGGATGGTCTCGATCTCCTGACCTCGTGATCCGCCCGTCTCGGCCTCCCAAAGTGCTGGGATTACAGGCTTGAGCCACCGCGCCCGGCCCGTACCACATTTTCTTTATCCAATCCACTGTTGATGGGCACCTCAGCTGACTCCCTATCTAACCTATTGTGAATGGTGCTGCTATGCACATATGAGTGCAGGTGACTTTTTGGTAGAATGAGTTATTTTCTTTTGGGTGTATACCCACTAATGGGATTGCTGGGTTGAATGGTAATTCTATTTCAAGTTCTTTCAGAAATCTCCAAGCTGCTTTCCACAGTGGCTGAACTAATTTACATTCCCATCAACAGTGTATAAGTATTCCCCATTCTTTGCAGCCTCACCAATATCTATTATTTTTTGACTTTTTAATAACAGCCATTCTGTCCAAAATCAAGATGCTGGCAGAAAATAATAATAATAGCCATTCTGACTGATGTGAAATGGTTTCTCCTTGTGGTTTTGATTTGCACTTCTCTGATGATTAGTGAGGCTGAGCATTTTTTCATGTTTGTTGGCTGCTTGTATGCATGTATGTCTTCTTTTGAGAAGTGTGTCTGTTCATGTCTTTTGTCTTTTTGGTTTTTTTTTTTTGAGACAGAGTCTTGCTCTGTCACCTAGGCTGGAGTGCAGTGGCGCCACCTCGGCTCACTGCAACCTCCTCCCCTGGGTTCAAGCAATTCTCCCGCCTCAGGCTTCCAAGTGGCTGTGATTACAAACACATGGTACCATTAATTTTTGTACTTTTAGTAGAAATAGGGTTTACCATGTTGGCCAGGCTGGTCTCAAACTTCTGACCTCAAGGGATCCGCCTGTCTCGGCCTCCCAAAGTGCTAGGATTACAGGCACAAGCCACCGTGCCTGGCCCCTTGACCACTTTTTAATAGGATTATTTTATTCTTGTTGATTCGTTTAAGTTCCTTATTGTTTCTGGATATTAGTCCTTTGTCAGATGCATAGTTTGCAAAGATTTTCTCTCATTGTCTGTTTATTCTGTTGATAATTTCTTTTTGCTATGCAGAAGCTCTTTAGAACAATTTACTTTTTTTTTTTTTTGAGACAGAGTTTCGCTCTTGTCGCCCAGGCTGGAGTGCAATGGCGCAATCTCCGCTCACTGCAACCTCTGCCTCCCAGGTTCAAGCAATTCTCCTGCCTCAGTCTCCCAAGTAGCTGGGATTACAGGCATGCGCCACCACGCCCAGCTAATTTTGTACTTTTGGTAGAGATGGGGTTTCTCCATGTTGGTTAGGCTGGTCTCCAACTCCCGACCTCAGGTTATGTGCCCGCCTGGGCCTCCCAAAGTGCTGGGATTACAGGCGTGAGCCACCGTGCCCAGCCCCCAAATATACTCTTACTTATATTAATTTTGCCTCCGTTTTTTCCTTTAGGTCAACGACTCCCTGCCACAATGATTATTTCAGGTTCTGGAAGGAACGGGGCCTGCGCCAATCAACACAGGCCTTCCTCCAGCCACAGTGAGCAGTTCAGGCCAGAGTAACTGTACTTTGCCTGGATGGTTGGGGCTTATCGTGCCCCCTCTTTCTCTCTCCCCAAGCCCTGATGACAGAGCCTGGCACACAGGGAGTGCTTGTGTTGGGGATAAAAAGAGATCTTTTCCTCAACCATGGCTCGGTTCATGGCTGAGGCCCCTGTAACAAAAGACAGATTTACAAGAGAAAAACCTACACATGTGTTTAATGTAAGGTTTATTTTGACACAGGAACTTTCATAAGGAAATGAAGATCCAAAGCAACAGAACAGTGTGTATTTCTACGCTTCGTTTTGATGAAAACTGGACAGTTGTGGAGGAGTCTGATTAGAGGACGTGTTAGTCCATTCTCACGCTGCTGATAAAGACATACCCTCCATGAAGTTGGGACCCGCCCCCCCAGCACCCCTGCCGCCCACCAAGCCTTTCCAGAGGCTCTCAGCGGTGGTTTCTCCCTCATTTCAGAAGAGATTAGAATGATCCAAGCTGGCCGGGCGCGATGGCTCTCACCTGTAATCCTAGCACTTTGGGAGGCTGAGGTGGGTGGATCACCTGAGGTTAGGAGTTTGGGAGCAGCCTGGCCAACAAGGTGAAACCCCATCTCTACTAAAAATGCAAAAATTAGCTAAGCATGGTGGTGGGTGCCTGTAATCCCAGCTACTCGGGAGGCTGAGGCAGGAGGATCCCAGCTACTTGGGACTCTGAGGGAGGCAAAAGGGGTGGATTATCTATGGGTTTTCAGGAAAGGGACGGGCAATTCCTGGAACTGAGAGTCCACCCTTTTTTAGATCATATTGGGCAACTTCCTGCTGTTGCTATGGCATTTGTAAACTGTTATGGCACTGGTGGGAGTGTCTTTTAGCATGCTAATGAATTATACTTGGCGTATAGTGAGCAGTAAGGACGACCAGAGGTCACTTTCATCGCCATCTTGGTTTTGGTGGGATTTGGCCAGCTTCTTTATCACATGCTATTTTTTTTTTTTTTTTTGAGATAGAGTCTTGCTCTGTCACCCAGGCTGCAGTGCAGTGTCACCATCTCTGCCACCTCCGCCTCCCAGGTTCAAGTGATTCTCCTGCCTCAGCCTCCTGAGTAGCTGGGATTACAGGTGCACTGCCACCACACCCAGCTAATTTTTGTATTTTTAGTAGAGTCGGGGTTTCACCATGTTGGCCATGTTGGTCTCGAACTCCTGACTTCAGGTGATCCACTCATGTCGGCTTGTTAAAGTGCTGGGATCACAGGTGTGAGCCACCGTTCCCAGCCCAGCATGCTATCTTATCAGCAAGGTCTTTGTGATCTACAGCTTGTGCTGACCTCCTATCTCATCCTGTGACTAAGAATGCCTAACCTCCTGGGAATGCAGCCCAGTAGGTCTCAGCCTAATTCTCCCCAGCCCCTACTCAAGATGGAGTCCCTCTGGTTCAAACCCCTCTGACAATATGAACGGACAACCTCCATTTCATTCTCTCAACACCTAAGCAGCTGCCTTCTTCTTGTGCAAAGAATTCGTAACCATCCTAGCCTGCGGCCTGTTCAACGAACACAACACAATTTGTGTGTTATTATTTTATACTTTCCTGGCTCTCGAAGGACTCGACGTGGTAAGAAAGTGTGGTGCTGTCTACCTTCTAATGAACATAGATAGCTGAGCCTCTGGGCAGATCAGAAGTGCAGCCTATTTCTAGGTCAAACACAGGAAGTGTGTTTGAGAGCAATGAATGCTCGCAAAACATGACAAGGGAGTGACAATGTCTTATTCCAGCAACGTACACACACTTGATCGTTTTCATCTGGCACTGGGTGCAGGGTTCTCTTTTCCTGTTGTGGAATGTAAACATTTTTTATATTACCATGTAAGATCCGGCCCTCATGAAAGAAGGGCAATTTGTAGGGTTTCTGTTTTAAAAAGCAACTTTGGACAGGCGTAAGGGAAACCACCCCCCTAGTCGGCCTACGGCTGGCAGAATAATTTTACA